GAGGGTGAATGAAGTCATTGGGATCCTCAAAGCAGCCGAGGACACCGGGGTGGCTGAGTGACTGGGCATGGTGGTTGAAGCTATGCTGGGACCACACCAAAGCAGACAGCAGCTCCCAGACATGGGGAACTTGATGTATCAGCAGAAAGTAGTGTTGCATGGCATGGAGCTGCCAGCACAAGGCAAGGCAGGTGAATAAAACCCCAGCTGAATCCTATTCAGTGTACAGAAAAACCCCAAGAGCCAATAAAGCTTACTGCAAGTGTAGAACACCCATGTCCTCATTACTCCTCCTGGCAACCCAAGGGCCTTGTGAGGCTTCAGATGGTGATCAGCTCTGCACAGCACAAGGCAAGAGGAAAGCCCAGGTTGACGTTATGGTCCCTTGCTGACTGGAGGAGGCTGATGGGACGTGATCACTCCTGCAGAGGTGGGGTTTGTAGGTGGTCCACAGCTGGCCTCCCCTGGGACCAATGGGCTGCTTGGTCCTGAGATAAATGGAACAAAAGGAAAGAGTGCAGAGAGGAGAAAGAGCTCCTTGTGGTTACCTGAGCAGGACATGGATACCCGACAAAGTACAGTGGGAGCCATAGGCACTGGGATGCTCCCAGCAACGGATCTAAGCAGGGAGACTCATCCAACTGCTGAGACAAGGATGCACAGCACCAAGCTGAGGGACTGAGCGGAAAGCCTGGCTGGGGACTGAGCAGAGGCTCTTTGCCATGAAGAATCCCTGAGTCCTTTGATATAAACCCTTTGATTTGAGTCAGTGACCCCTGGAAATCTGCTTCAGGTTCCGCTTGATTCAGCACCAAGAACTGGGATCCCCTGACACAATGCAAACCGGGAGCAACAATAGAGTAACTGGCTCTGGTGTTGCAGGCAACAGCAGATAAACAGGACCCCTGCATCCCTGGGTGCCACAGAGATGCTGCTCCCAGAAGGATCAGCCAAAGATGTCCATGATGGGACCATGATGGGACCACCACCAGTCAAGCAATGCCAGAAGGCACCAGGCTGGCCTCACTGCACGAGGAATCACTCAGCCTGAGCGAAACTCTTGCCTGCAGAACCACAAGTGATGCAAAGAACTCCTGTTGAGCAAATTCAGCTGCTCTTGCTCCATACCCAGTAACAAGTGATAGGCAAGAGGAAACGGCCTCAAGCTGCACCAAGGCAGGTTTAGATGGAGATGAGGAGCAATTCCTCCCCCAAAGGGTGCTCAGGTATTGGAACAGGCTGCCCAGGGCAGGGCTGCAGTCACCATCCCTCTAAGTGTTCACACACCCTCAGTGCCATGGGTTAGTGGTAGCCTTGGCAGTGCTGGGGTAAAGGCTGAACTCGATCTTAAAGGTCTTTTCCTACCCATTTGATTCTGTGATTCTACCCTGTAGCCAAACAAATCTTCCAGGTTGGGAGGAATAAAAGAGAAACCCGAAGAGCAGCAGCACAACTCATCGGGCACTCGTCAAAGCGGTGCGTCAGCACCGAGCAAGCTGAAAGGCGCTGGGGATGCGAACGCAGGCTTTGCTGCCCTGCATTGGCAGGACCTCTGGCTGTCAGAACGCTTCCAGCACAGGGCAGAGCCTTCATCCCGGCTGTGCCCAGCACATCCCGGTGCCCACGTGATGCTGAGCTGCGTCAGCACAAGCGTGTTGCAGCCTGAGACGACATTGCCATGTCCTCCATGACTTCACCCCGGGGCCGAGGGCTTGGGGCTGAGCCCACGGAGCAGGTCGTGCTGTGAGTTATAGGGGTTACAACACCAGCACCAGCACTGGCCAAGGGCCAGGGTCACCCTGACATGGCCATGGAAACAAGGGCAGCGGCAATAGGACAGTGCCCATCCAAACAGAGGCAGTGCCACCCAGCTCAGACACCGGCTGTTTCCTTGGGGAGTTAAGTATCTATGGAGTGGAACAGACACCCCTGATTCATTCCCAATTAACCCTTTACCCACACTGACCTCAGGAGCTTTTGTTCTTCCTTAAAACAGGAGCTCTCAGGATGCTGATGCTTGTGTCAGAGGCAGCACTGGAAAGCCAAGACAAAATCCCCTCCAACAACCCATCCATGGCCTGGATGTGGTCTATTGTGCTGGGGTTTTGTTAAGCTTGATTTTTCTCATTGCAGTGTACATCCTTGCAGATAAGCAGGCTGATAACACAGTAGGAATGGAGGAAGCCTTGTCTTTATGCTCATTAAAGCTGCCTTGGACAAAAAGGAGGGGATCTCTGCTAAGATTGTCCCTTGGGGCCTGAGCAGAGCAGCTCAGCATGTGGTGAACATCATCAGGACACCAATGGAAAGACAACAGTGGACCAAAGGGGCAGAGATGCAGGAAAGCAGCAACCGCATCTGAACTGAGACTCCATCACCCACATCATCCCCAAGGAAATCAGTCTTGCCTGCACTGGGGTCCCAGTCCTCTGGTAGCAGACACTTGGACAAGCCAAATGGCAATCATGCCACTGTACATTGTGCAGAGGAGAATTCCCCTTTGTCTCCAGAGGGCTTTCTTGATTTGTAGACATTGACCCTGGGGCAACAGAGGTCAGGAAGGGTCAGAAAGGTGGGCATGGGGCTTGGAGCTTTGATTGCAAACTGGAGCAAGGATCCCATTGCCCAGCTCTTCACCATCTCTTCAAGGTCAGTGATGCTCTATAGGCCACTCACTCGCAGGCACAAGGAGGGGATGTCAGTGCATTGTGCTGGCTTTTGTAAGCAGGATACAGGCATCCCTTGGCTGGTGCTTTGTTTCGAGCAACACAGAAAACCCTCCAAAGGGCATCTTAGGATACAGCACCAGGCTAAGACACACTGGAACATCTCCCCAGGAGAAACAAATCCCAAAACATATGGCTACAAATTCCTTAATAACATCATTTCCCCTTTCTGTGTCACTTTGCTTCTACAGGCTGCAAAATGCTCCATAAACACAAGCAGAAACAGCTTCACAACCCACATGAAGACCAGCTGATGTCCTACCTGCGCAGCATGGGAGGGAGGATCAACAGGCAGGGGAGAACAAGCCCCTTTAGGGATGTGGCTTGTAAACTTGGAATGGGAAAAGAAAGGAACAAGCAAGATCTGCACCCTTCCCTTAAACATCCAGTGGTGTGCTTTTAAAGGTATTTATGTGCTTTGGAAAGGCTGACAGCCATGGTCTAGACAGGATTCATCACCTCAGAGCACACAAGACAGCTTCAAAGACCAATCACAACTCCTTAGCTGTACTGCATGGATTTAAGTATTGCAGTGAGGATACGTTAGCAAATACATAAGGAGAACAATGAGGGATACAGGCCAAGACCTGGAACTTGGCTCTCCAAATAGGATCTGCAGGGGGAGGAAACAAGGAGGACACCTGCCCTGCTTCCTGGTCAGGTTTATCTTCCCACATCCTTGAACACACAGAAGCTACATGACAGGTAATGGGACTTTGATCCCAGTAAAGTCTCTGGGACTTGCTCTGTTCTGGGTACAGCTTACATCTAAGGAGGACAGACAAAAGCCATCCCTGTTTTAGAGATGTGGAGCTGAGGTTTAGTGACAGGAGCAACACACAGGCTCACACCGCACTTCAGACCCTGGCATTGAAGTGGGAGTCATTCCCAGTGTCTGGAGCTGCACACTGGCAGCCGGCCTGTTCACTCCAGCTGCAGCCTTGCCCAGCAACAGGTTTCCTCTGGGTACCAGCGGGATGCTGTCATCACAAGGAAGGTGCCACTGAAACTCAGAGCTAGGGAAACATCTGCTTGGTCAGACTTTCCAAAACTCCTGGGCAAGGACGCTCATCCAGGAACGAGGCACACATTGGGTTTGCCCATTTTATGGACAACCAATGCCATTAAAGTACAGAACTCTGAGGTTAACTATCTATGTTTTGATTCCAAGCCTTCCAGGGAGGCCTCAGCTGAACAATCAACACAAAACCTAAATGTTGAGGAAACAAGCACAGATTGATGCTTTAGCACACTACTGTTGTCTAGCATTCCAGGACAAATATAGCACAACCCCTTCCCCCAAATACAAATCTCCATCTGGGAAACATCCTCTAGACCCAGGAAACAGAAAAGGGGGGACTGGATCCCTGCTTATCACTGGCTTCCCATTAAGGATACCCCATCCAACAGCTGCTCCCATACCAGCCAGCACCCCAGAACAGGGCAAACAGGCGACACCAGCACTGCCTGGATGTTGTTACAGCCAGAAAGAAGAAAGCCAAAGGCAGGCAGGCAAAGGGTTAAGAACCAGATCAGCGCCTGTCATCAACCACCATGGATGCGCCCCAAGTCTCCGGTGTTGGTACCTGGGTGCCTACCTCTGTCTCTGGGGTGGAGTCCTTCTAACCACAGGGCAGCCTCGCCTGCATTCCTGCTCCCTGAGTGACAGCTCCGGAGCTGCTGGCTCCAGCCTAAGCCTTGGCAGGAGAAAAGATGCCTCCTGCAGGGCCAAGTCAGACTCGCCCTGGAAATCTCCTTACTTAGTAGAAACAGGTTAGGGAGCCAGGAGCCAAGGGCTTGGCACCGGCTCCGGGTGTTTTGCTGGAGATGTTTAGGAGCGTATTGAAATTGCCAGCTTGCATCTCCTTAGATGTCTGAGCAATATCCTAGCACGGAATTATGCAGGTAATAAGGGCTTGAAAGCAGGAACAACCACAGTTGGATTAAGATATAGGCACTCTAGGCCTTTGCTCAGTTGGCTGGCTCGGAGAGACTTGGGATGACATCAGTCTTTGCTTTTGCTTAGTAAAAGCGTTTCTGGCACCGTTTGCAAAGAGAAGCTGGAAGGAGAACAGTGCAAGAGCTGCTGCTGCTCCGGTGACACTTGCCCAAGCTCAAAACAGGGTCCTGCAGAGGGAAGAGCAGCAGCTGGTATTGCAAGAGCCAGGAGGAGGACTCATGCAAAACTTAGCAGGGTAAGTTCAAGATCCACAGGCACTTGCACGTGTATGAAACATCACATACATGTTCAGTTTCAGGTCAGGAACATCTTACCTACATCCAGTGGAAGAAGAGGTGGATTTACACAGATGAAGACCACAAGTGCAGAGTGTATTTCTTCTTCATGCCTTTTGTATTTTCTATTTAAGCCTACAAGATATTCAGAGTCAGAACAGAAAAGGCTCTCCCAATCTACCCTATTTTGTCCTCCAAACAGCTTTTTCATAACTGCTTCAACCCCAGAAGCGGTTTCTTCTTTGTCTGCCCCCAAAAGCAGCTGAAGCATCTCTACCGAAACTCACATCTCATCCACAGAGCAGTAGTTTGCTCAGATCTTTGCAACTACTCCCATCAGAGCTGCATAACAACAGCACCAAGCTCTTTAATGAGATGCAGTAGCACTCCACCAACTCCAGTGGCATTAGTCCTCCTTGTTACTGAGCATCATTTATCACAGAGGGAATGCTAAGGAGGAACAAGAGCAGGGCTGCTCCAGCAATAAGGTCAAGCCAAGGCTGAGGGTGAACCACAGCAAGATCCGTCAGCAACCCTGAAAATGACAAAGCCATCAGTCAGGTCGCAGGTCCAACCAGGAACAGCAGGAGATAGAGACCAATCCACAGGTACAACTGAGAGGTTCATCTAGGAGAAAGGCCAACTCCACTATAAGTCCCAGAGCCATCCAATAGACAAAGCCAGAGCCACAGACACCTACAACATAACCCAGAGGAAAACTGCAAGCCCAAGGACTGAGCTTAAATGGATCTCATCAGCCTATATAGGCAGAAGGTGGAGACCCCAGGTGAGGCTGCTCAGCATCATTAAGGTCTATTAGTGCAATTAGGGTCCTGACAGTAGGCTTTCTGTATGAGGTGAATGTGTTTGTAGGTGGGTTTCTTCATGCTTGGTGGTCACAGGAGGAATAAAGAGGTTTTAAGGACAACAGGAACTTCCCAACCCTCTCTGTTCCCTTGGACCAAGCTCCCATCGCTTGGCACAGAACAAACTCATGAACCCCAAAAGGAAAATTCACAGTGCTCAAATAAACAGTTCCTGCCATTTATAAGACCTCACATACACAATAGATGTGAGCACATTTCTGTCCTCACACACACAATAGAACCCCTCCATGCTTCCAAGGCAATTTGACAGGTTTCCCTAATCCAAGCTGCCTGAGCTTGCCACCAGCAAGGAACCCTACATGCTCCAGTCCTGGTTCATGCAATCTGGGTCTGGCCAGGGCGATGCTGAACCCTGGCCCTGTATCAGCCACGTAAGGATGTGTCTGGTATGGGAGCGTGCAGGAAGCTAGGCTCTTATGATCCCATCAGGCTTGTTTGCTCTGCCTACATTCACCAGGGAATTAAGGAAGCAGTAGCCCCTCAAAGTGCTAAAGGCTTCCTGTGGATTCATGTGGGTTTATAGGAAATGAAGATGGTGAAACCTGGACTACTGGGATCCCAGGTAGGAAGAACTCTTGGACTTCCCCAGAGGTTTGAGGCCAGGGCTGAAGAAAAGTGGTCTCATGGACCATGTCCCTTGATACATGACCTCCCTCATGCATCCTCTGCTCAAGAAGTGCTGCAGGACTCCCTGTAAGGAGCTGAGTTAATGACATGGTTTAGTGCTGGACTCCTGGGGTAATGGCTGGACTTGATCTTCAAGGTCTTTTCCAACCTGGTTGATTCAATGACTCTGCCCATGCAGTGTCCTCTCCTTTAACCCCATCACAGATGGGGAAATCTGATTTACTTGGTCTCGCACCAAGGGCTTTCACCACTCTGTCTGAGCACTGTGACCCCCCCCTCCAACACAGCACCAAATTCCTACCTTTATTCTATCTCAGGGCTGCACCCCGGACAGATGGAGAGAATCAGCTGAAATTGCTGGTTCCGGCTTTCACCGCTAACACAGAAATGCTCATTCCTCCCCGCTCCCTTCGCTCCTCAGAGCTCCGTTCATTCATGTTCATAGGAAACACTTTGCCAAAGGGACTCATGGGGACTATAGAGTAGTTTTATCCAATTACTTTTTAACTACACCTGTGATTCCTGGTGAGGTCTGGACACTGTCAAGGGAAGCAAGGCTGGCTTTGTGCTCATAAATTAAACCATTTGCTGGGAAACAACCCAAAGAGCACAGGCTCTTCCCTTTCATGCCCCTGCTCCCCATTGCAGATCAATGTGGACATGACAAGAAAAATGGAAACATTCCAACACAAGATTTCACCTCCAAATGTGTTTCTGTTGAATCATGTCAAGACCTGGTATTACAGGAGTGCAGTCAAACAATTCTTTTCTTTCTGATTTAATGGAAAACAGTGAAGAAATAGATTTCCTAAATGGAAAGAAGGCAAGAAAACCTTTAGAATGTCCAACAGAATGGAATAAAAAGGGAAATCGATTCTTGCCCAACAAAATGCTTCATTCTAAGAGAGTCTGAGGATGACACTAGGTGCTTTTTTAAGCACTGCATCAATAGTGAGGAGCTCCAGAAGGGACTCAGAAAACTCCGTAAGTGGGTAAAAATCAGGCAAATTATCTAAGCGTACATAACAGTAACACACCTAGCAAAAAGTAATCTAAACCATGCCTAAAATGTAATCTAAACAGTGCTGCAGTCAGAACTGGTCGATACAGCCCAGGGAAGCGAGTCATCTTGAAGTCATCATTGGCAAATGTCAGTGTAGGGTGGCAGCCAAGAAAGCAACCAGAACTGGGTATCACCAAGCAGGTAGTGTTGAGGATAACCCAGAGCATGTTCTGCTGCTCTATTAAACCTTGATGGGCCCGCATTTGGAGAACCATGTGTGGTTCTGGCTACCATGTCTCAAGACGTGGGCTTAGAGAAGGTCCAGAGAAGGGCAACCAACATGGTCAATGGCATGGAGAAGCTGCCTTACACGGGGAGGCAGGAAAGACCATTTCCTCAGAACTGACACATCTTGCAAGCTGTGAAGAGCATCTCACATTCTTTAACCAAAACCTGATCCTGGTGACAGCCTCTGTGGGTGCTTGTTTGCTGTGCACATCACCCTGGAAGGACACAGTGAATGCGTGTCCTGCTGCTGAATCATACTTGCAAATCCAAGAGCTGATGAGTCTGTGCTAAAGGTAAGGCCACTGCATCTTATGTCACTTTTGGCAGCAGGGGAAAGGCAGGCAGAAGGTGCCCAACAACATTGCTCTGGTTAAGTGTATTTGCAAAGGGTGCAATGACAACACAAGAGGGCAGGAGAAAATCAGACACCCAGGTGAAATTTGGGCTCTTCTGAAATTACCAGCACAAACCTGATGCCTCTGGTGCATTAATGTCTGACAAACTGCACCCATCAACCCCATGAGAAAGAACAGGGGACACTAAAGAGTAAGACACTGGCAGTAGGAAACAATTATTTAGGTGATGTATACATAGAGAGAGCTGCAGAAGAGGACAAACAGCTAGACCAGCCCTGGACTATCACCAGCAGTTCTGCCTCCTCAATGGCTTTGGATCAAAAGGAGGGCATGCATTCTAACTCCGCTCCACAGCAGAAATGGCATTTCAGAGCCTAACTCCCATACACAACCCCCTAAATCCACTTGTAGATCTGAAAAACCCTTTTGAGTAGCTGCAGGCTGGACGTGTCCAGATTTACAGCAGATTTAATCTCAAAGTGGTCATGAAATTCCAGCCTGAATCACTGAAATGTATTTACCAACCTGGTAATTTGGGCAGAAACAACCAAGAGGGGATTTTGGGATGCCTGGGGCCAGGCTCTTAGCATCCACTGAGGTTATTGCTGCATAAGATATTAAGCAGATAGACATGGACCAGAATGGATGCCTCTTTTTTTTCTCTCATTGTGCCTCTATCATTGTATTTAAACTCACGTTGAATGGTGGTTTGTAGCACTGCCAGCTCCAAGTTCATCTGTCCAGTGGGAATGGGAGAGGCCAGTCCTTCAGGTTGCCATCTGGCTCCAGTTCTCTGTGGAAGCAAGACAGGAGAAGGCTGGTTATAATTGACCCCAATTCCTCAAATAGCCCCAATTGCTGAGGAGATGGCTAAATAGCAGCCTCCAAATCCACTCGGAATGGACCCAGGTGTCCTGGTGCCCTATGGCCTGGGACAGAAACCTTTTAGCACCCCTGTCTTCCCTCCAAAGAGCACTGACAGTGCCTTACTTCAGAGAGTATCTGTCAGTCCAAGGAGTTTAAAAGCTCTGGATCAAATTCTTAATGACCCTGGACAGACACAATAGAGGCTGTCAGCACACAACAGCCCAGAGGCTGGCACTGTCAAAGGGACCCAAGTGTTAAAATACCACTCGGCTTTGCCAGAGAAAGTTGACTACTGGGAAGGGGGATAGCATTGCTGGGGTTTTTTGTCCTGTATAAAAAGGTTAAAACCAGGTCACACTTCACAGTGCCATTTTAAAGAAGACCTGCACACTGGTAGGAGGCAAGGAGATGCGTCTTGTTTATGAGCAATGGGGAATTCTCATCAATCCCAGGGCTTCGTGGCAATTCCAGGGGGTTACTTTCAGCAGAAGAGACATTTAAAGAATGGAGATATTTGGTTTGTGATATTAAGGTCTTCCACTTTCCTTCTGATCACAAATCATGTGCCATTAGAAGCTTGACTTTGATTGGATGGAGAAGCGAGGTGCTCTTCCAAATATTTGCCTTCCAAACTTTCACTTGGCACCAATTCTTGGTTTGATTTTTCCTTTAGGTCCCACTGGAAATTCACTTTGGGTTGACCCAAAGCAGAGGGGGAACAGCATCCTTCAACTGCCAGAGCATGGAAACGCCAAACATCTGCAAAGCTCCAATTAGAAGTGGTTTCATTCTTCTTTGCACTGCATATTCCAGGTCTCTAAAACCAAACCTGTAAACTGCACTCATTTTTAACCTGGAGTTGGATGTGTTTTTCTCAGCCCTTTTGACAGTTTGGAGCTATGAATCATGCCAGTTCCATTTTTTGCCTCTGTACTTATAATCCGAGTCTGGTTATCATTGACTAGTGTAAACCCTAATGTATACTCAGCAGACCATTATTGGTACACTGGGACCATTGGCTTCAATTTTGTTCCTCTACCCAAGTCTCCATACACATACAGCACAAAGGGAGCTAGTTAAAACCTTGATGTGCCCACATTTGGAATACCATGTGTGTTTCTGGCTACCATGTCAAGGCCAGGATAGAGCCTTGGGTGACATGGCCTAGTGTGAGGCATCCCTGCCCATGGCAGGAGGCTTGGAACTGTATGATCTTTAGGTCCTTTCCAACCTAAACCAGTCTATGATTTTGTGTTTCAAGATGTAGAGTTACAAATGGTCCAGAGAAGAGCAACCAACACGATCAAGGGAATGGAGAAACTGCCTTACATGGAGAGGCTGGAAAGATAACTTCCATACACAGCACAAGGGAGCAGTCTCTGTCTGTGTCCCCAACCATATCATTATCACAGCACAGCCGTTGGTACCCAACAGCAGAGAAGGTCTCACATCCACCCCATGGTTGTGTGCTGGTGCTGATACCCAATGTAGAACCCCAAATGGCAATTCCTCTTCCTATTCCTTGGTAAGGCCCCACTGCCCTGCCTGGCAGGGCTCTCTGGGACATCCATC